CCGCGCCTGGGCAGCGATGATTCGAGACGTTCATGAAGCCGGCTCATCCTCCCGTAGGAGATAGCCGAAGTAAAGTAAAGAGTAAAAAAGTATATTTCAAACAATCTGAATAATATGACGGACTAGTCTGCTACAAAGACGGTGTGCGGAACGTCTTTGAATAATAATGCACTGTTTAATTGGTTACTTATTACACGTTGTATTTCCAACGTAAGTAAACAGCCGAAAAATAAGTTAAAATATGACTCGGATAATTCATGTTCTTAGCTTATTAGCTCGGTCTTGACAAAATAAAAGCTGACAATAATGGAACTTCTCGAAGCTTGAGAAAATAGAAGTCCGGAAGTAAGACTTACATTAGTTCCAAGTAGAACCTTGAAGCTTAACAAAAAAGTACACTCATGTCTCACCACGTGTTAATACGTTCACTGTAAACTTTCTGTTGATACAAGTTCGTTCTTTATGCAATCAAATATTTGAATTTCATTAAACCTTCAAAAGTGTGAAACTTACTGATAGACTAAAGGGTGGGAATTTTTGTCTTGAATGAAATGTGGATAAAGTTTGACATGGAGAAAAATATCCATTCAAAATTACATGGCATTGTAAGATAAGATGATGCTTTTGGAGATTTTGATGTGTCCTACGCAAATCCAGTCAGACCTGGAGAAGACGTGATATCCGGCTATCGACCAAAGGGCGGTTCTACTGCTCAGCAGTCCGCTCCGTCCTCCTTTATGGCTGTGAGACCTGACCATTGAGAGTGGAAGACATAAAAAGATTAGCTGTCTTTGATCATAGGTGCCTGCGTTCAGTTTCCCGTGTGAAGTGGTATGGGCTGTGAAATTACATCGACTGAGATGGTTATGACATGTGTTACGCATGCATGACTAGTCATCGCCTTCCTCGACAAAGGGCGATGTTAGCTGACATAGGGTCAGTCTGGAAAAGAGTTAGCGGAGGAAAAGGAAAAGTTCGTTTAACACATTTAGATGAACGATTTTTAATCAAGTCTGAAATGGTGTCACCTTTGAATGCCAGACTCATAAACAGTTTTTTCTTTGGTACTGTGACTTGTCTCGGGGCGGATTCTTTCTTGATGTTACGTTCAATGAACCTTGTGGGATAACCATTGTTAAGGAGATTTGATCGAAGGTTATCTAGTTCACTATCGATTGTCTCTGCAGAGCAGATTTTACGAATTGTGGAGCATAAGAAACGAATAAGATTTCTCTTTCTCCCTAAAGGTACCCAAATGTTGAAGTTAATGTACTGTCCAGTGAGTGTTGACTTTCGGTAAATCAACCTTAACAGCGTTCCATTCTCTCTTCTATCTAGCTTAACATCAAGGAAGTGAAATGAAGAATCCGACTCTTCTTCGACCGTGGAAAGCAAAGATGAGTGAGAACCATTAAATATTCTAAGAAGTTCGGCAGTTGAAGGTATCATCAACATATCTTTTATACATAAACAGACTATCGATGGTTTCCTTTAGTGGGCTACTCTCTAAGCTTGCCATGAAAACGTCCGCTAAGAGCGGTCCTAAAGGAGACCCCATGGCGACTCCATCCCTTTGGTTTTAGATGACATCATTAAATCTAAATTGCACATTCAGTGTGCATCTCAATAGTAGTTGTTTAAGATAATCAGTTGGTGAGCCAATGTTCATGCTGTTTGAATCAATATACTCGTATAGATAGCAGATAGTGTCTACTAGTGGTACATTTGTGAACAATGAACAAATATCTAACGAAATCATATGCTCACCAGTCACATTAATTTCATCAACACAACTGACGAAGTCAAAAGTGTCAGAAAGACTATGTTTACATAGATTTAATCTAACTGGTTCCAGAATTTCCGCAAGCCATTTAGCGGTAGAGTGATACGGTGAATTCAGCATATCCAATACAGGTCGCAGAGGGACATCAACTTTGTACACTTTTGGAAGACCATATAAACGAGGGATAGTTGAACCAGATGATTTAAGCTGTTCATACATATATGGAGTAATGATGCATTCTTGCTTCAATTCCGTCAAAGTTTTAGATAATTCCTTCTCAATATTATCTGTCTTGTTTATATTGGACGTTGTAAGCGTAATCTCCGAAAACGTGTAGCTGAACACTATCCGGTTTGGTTAATGAAAGGCGAACGTAGAACTGCAAAGTCGTCTATTTGTGATCACCTGTTAGAGTCTGGTCATTTAGCCCCACGTGATTCATCTTTCAAAGTTATCTACATGGCAAAATCGAATCGATCCAAAAGTTTACGTTTTCACTTATGCATAGCCGAAGCTTTAGCTATACATGAACAGAAACCTAAATTATGTGTTCAAAAGCGTTTTGTCAAACCCCTTTCTTTACCTTGGTCATAATAATGTTCTTTCTAGTTTTTATTTTATTTTACCACTTGAATTCTTTCCACTTCACTTCAAATCTTCATTCTTATCGTAATCGTACTCCTAATTTTCAAAATTTTTGGACAACACTTGACGTTTTTGTTATGAAACAATCTTTAATATTTTTGTAATTTATCCACTTCAACTCTACCCCTTATAACTTTTATCACATATATACGTACATTGACTGAGCAATTATTTAGTGGCACTTAATAACCTTTTTCTGTAATATAAATACGACTGTACAGCTTGAAAATGAAGTCTCTGAAAAGAAATTTCTTCGTCGAACAAAAATCATATTAATTCAATTGAATTCTTAGATTTTCTCGAAACTATGGGCACTGGGTTCAAGCCTCGGGTGGGAACATCATCACTCACTAGGAAATGCGGGTACACCCAGATGACGAGTCCATAATAGGACGAAATGTGCATCCTGGATTCCACTGCTAGTCACCATCCACAAATTAAATTCTAATTAAATGCCCAGACATCTTCAAAGCATCTGCACAAGAAGCCGACATGTCAGCCTAAGACCGAGCACTTCTATCCAATCAATCGACGGGAAAATCTAAAAATTCAATTAAAAGAACTATAATTCGGAAAAATGAGACGAAGAAGAAAATATTCATATGGGAAAACATACAGTTTAATGTATATTAGAGATCATAGATGGTGAATGCATCCCCACCATTGAAAAATGACTTTAAGCCATAATCACCAATAACCTTCAGTCATTGGCTCTTAGCATCTACGTGACTGGCTCAAGCCAACTGTCAAAGACTTCATAGACTGATCCGAGGTTTTGATTTGATCACGCCTAACTCTTCTCCAGCATAAACCTTTGTCAACGAACATTACCCGTCGAAGGACATGGTCGCTTAGGATGCTACACAACTTCATCGATTGATTTACCCTCCTCATCTAACACTGCATACCCCTAACCTTAATATTATACGACTTAACACAGGAGATAGAGTGCAAACATCTGTAGTCAAAGATAGTTTGCTATTCTATGTCTTGCACTTTCAGCGGTCATGTTCCACAACCTTTAAGGAGGACGAAGCAAACTGGTGTGCAGTACACGCATGTCCTTTGATCGATAGGCAGCTGGATATCACGTCTACTCCAGAGATGATGTAAGTTGAGCTACGTGTCCTGAGTTCACCAAATGCTCGAGAATCAAGCTAGTAATTGTCTTGCATTGTCCCTTTGCTAACCATGCCGGATAATGTTCAGAGATGCGTTTAGAAAGTGTGCACTTTGTTCGGCCAACGTAACTAGCTCCACACGAGCAGGTGAATTTATAAACATATTGAGGTGGCCCAAACTGGCGGCAGTTTATCCTTCACACATCTATTGGTCATTTGTCGGCTGTAGTAATTTACATGTAGCTCAGCCATAAGGAAGGCTTTCCTCAGTGATCTGCAGAAGCAGCGATTCTTCAAGATCTCAGCTGTGGTATCACCTTTAAATTCAACGCTCATAAATAGCAGTTCCCTCGGCACTGTCTGGGTTCTTTCAGGCTTTTCCCTTAGCTTCATGTTTTTCTCGATAAATCTTGGAGGATATCCATTCTCCTATGAGGACTTGTCTCAGTCGCCCTAGTTCCCCATCGACTGTATCACTGGAACATATCCTCCTTATTCTTGAGGATAAGGAGTGGATCAGATTTCTCTTTCTTCTCAAAGGGACCCAACCATGGAAATTTGTGTATTGACCATTCCATGTTGGTTTCCTGTAGATCGATCTTTGAAGAGAACCATCAGATCTCCTTTTTAGAAAAAAACATCCAAAAAATGGAATTTCGAGTTCATTTCAGATTCCCACATGAACTAGATGACATGATTGCAGCTATCTGAACTCTTTAGTTATCAATTCGTTGTCAGTATTGTTGTCACATATGATGAAAGTACTGTCCATGTACCTTTGATACAGATGGAAACTATCTATAGTAGGCCGTAAAATACTATTCTCCAAACTAGTCGAGAAGCAGTCTGCAAGTAAAGGACCCAATGGTGTGACCCCATTGCCACTCCATCTATTTGTCTATGAAGGATGTTGTTGAACTTGAAATGAACATTTAAAGTGCACCTCAATAGTAGTTCCTTTAAGTAGTGGATCGGAACACATACGTCTACGATATTATCCCCAATGAATTTGCATATAAAGCAAATAGTTTCAGTGAGGGAAACGTTGATGAAAAGCGAAATAACATCCATGGATATCATGGATGTTATTTCTTACCGGATACATTAGCGTCACTTATTGAATCGACGAATTCAAACGAATCAGAAACATTATGCCTTGCAGAGGTTATTTCTGATAGGTAGGAGGATGTCTGCGAGCCATTTGGCAGTAGCATGATATGGAGAATTTGTCATATCCAAGATTGGACGTAGTGGCACGTTCTCTTTGTGCACTTTCGGCAGACCATATAAACGGGGAATCACGGAACCGGAGAGTCGTATTTCCTCGAATAATTCAGAGCTGATCATCGATTCGTTGTTGTTTTGTCTTTCTTCTATTCGTCTTTTGTATTGCTAGTGAATTTTAAATTTACTCCCTCTCATCCTGCTTTTTCTGTTTTTGTTATTTAGAAATGACCGATTCTGGAATGTTAACTGTAAAAACGCCAACGGAAATGCATGATGATTTAGAAAATTTAGGAATGAGCTTTGAATATGGTTGTGTACGTGAAAACAATCCCGTCAGTGAGTAGGTTGTCATTTTTTTGGGGGTCTAATGATTTAAAATCATAATAATAATAAAGGTTGTCATTCATGGGCTGTTTGGTGTCAAAATTATAAAAAGATGCTTCACAGAACTGTGGATATCTTTAGAGAGAATTGTTTCAAGCGTCATTATGCAGATAGTTGTTTTCAACTTGGCTCTATGAAGGTGATTGGTGATACTGGTGTCCTACGTGATCCATTGGAAGCATATCAAGCATTTGAACATGGTTGTAAGGCAGGGAAACAAGGAAAATGTTGTCAGGTGAGTTATTTCCCCTCTTTTTGTGAAAGTTAATTACCCTCTCAGATGTCCCCTCTTTATATGGTATAACAGTGGATGACTTATATTCTCCTTTCTGTCTGTCTGTTTTCGACATAGAACTCTGCACAAATGTGCGGAAGTTCAAGTCGCCACACTCCGTGTAGCACGCTAAGCAAAAGAAGAAAGTACATGAAAAGCATAATAGAAACAGTGAACAGAGGTGTGAGACAAAGGAGTAATAAAGGAAAACAAAACAGTTTCATTGGAGATCGTAAGTCACAAGGAGTGGATGCATCTGCATCAGCCATCGAGAATGATTTTGAGCCATGTCACCAATTGTTTCCAACCATAGATTTTTACCGTCCCGAGGACCCCAGCCTGGAAGTCTACACCTTCCTACATGGCTTAGACCAACTGTTGTGGATTTCATTGACTGGTGCCAAGTTTTCGTTTGACCACCGCTAGCTTTTTCCAGCCTGACCCTACATCCGCTAACATTGCTCGTCGAGGGGGGCGATGGCTTGGCATACGTAACACATGTCCTAACCATCTCAGTCTTTGTAACTTCACGACTTCGTCGATTGATTTCCCCTGTTTACCTAGAACTCGACGCCTAACCTCAATGTTGCTCACCTTATTATGCCACTTTACACGGGAAATAGAACGCAGGCACCTATGATCAAAGACAGCTAGTCTTTTCATGTCTTCCACTCTCAGTGGCCAGGTCTCACAACCATAAAGGAGGACGGAGCGGACTGATGAGCAGTACACCTGCCCTTTGGTCGATAGTCGAACATCTCGTCTACGCCAGAGTCGGCGTAAACTAACAAATGCGAAACGAGCCCCCTGTATTCGTGCTGAGATTATATTCTCCCTTATTTATGTTAGCATTACTAGTCTCACAATTATTTTTATTTTGCTATTTGGCCTTTACTTATCTTCCTAATAAATTTTATAGGATAGTTATTTGATACCAACGCTTCTTTCATCTTTTTCCTTTAATCAATTCGGTCTTATTTTTGTACTACTTAGTGCTACTGCTCAGTTTGTTAGACACTTAACTAAGCCTGGCCTTACAGATAACGAACGGATAAGGTGAATTAAAGTCTAAATATCTATTAGAATGAGTTGGTTTTTTGTGCATACTAGTGTGAAGTTTGCCTTCTTCTATTCGTTTCATTTTACAATCTAAAATACCTAATTCCAGCCTGTTCATTTTCCGCTTCAAATATGAATTTTATTCCCTCTACTAGTGAGTTTATGTGTGTCAAGAAGCTAGAGAGAGATATGTTCTGCTTTTAACACTGTGAGTGAAAGTGTCATCCACATATCTCCACCATATTTTTGGAGTAGGATTAAGTGTATTAAGAGAAATATTTTCCCAACTGTCCATAAATATGTCTGCTACGATAGGGGATATTGGTGATCCATCCCATTGCTACACCTTCTGTTTGTCTGTATATTTTGCCTTGGAATTTAAATATATATCTATTTATATGCATGTAGAAAAGAAAAGAAACCTCAATAAGTTAGTATAATATCTAACTTAATATAGATTTCTGCTCTATTTCTCATGGTTGTATTGTCTGGAAACTTTTCGAATTAGTGCAGGGCTGTTTGTGACATACCATGTATGTATAGTTTTTTCCGCTTGATTTAATTGTTGTCCTTGTTTTTGAATATAACGTCTCAATGTAAATTTTCATGTCTCACTAATTTCTGCCTACTTAAATGAGTGAGAAATTGTCGCATGGAATAGTAGATGAATAATGATACACAACGAAGTCGGTGGGGGAGGATGGCGGGAGACAGAGCGTTAGTGGTAAAGGAAAAAAAACACTTTTTCCTTCCACGGATGAATAGGCTTATTTCCTTCAACATAGAAAAAAAAACAACGAAAACAATAACTATGTTGTAGGTGGTTGTCGTGTATGTCTGTGGTCCAGTATGGTAAAATGCTGGTCGGCTACCACGCTCATAGGTGGTCCAGGTTAAATTCTTTGTAGGTGTACATTTGTAATGCTCCGGTGGTTAGCAACTAAGTTCAGAAGAGAGGTCTAGCAATCCCATCCTGTGAAAAATAACATCACGTCTATTAACATTTCAAAACTTAAACCCCTGTGTTCCATCCGGAATGGATGTAGTGAAGTAAGTATGCGTATGTCGTCGTATTGATTAAATCCACATAGACGACATGGTACGGCCACGTTTGGATAGACTTCTGTCATCATTTTGAAATGCTCTCATGTAGAGGCATGTGTTTGCAGCTTACCTCTGGCAAATAATAAGTCTTTATTCATTACCCTCACATGGGGTGCGGGTGTTCCTCACAAAAGTGGAAGGATGAATGCAACCTAAGCAGTAGACATGCAGTTCTAGCTACCCAGGGGATCTAGAAAAATCTTGATTCCAAACTTTGTGATGTGTATATGGGCTCCAGAATCCCATTATATTGAATGACGTATGAACCTATTTTAGTCACCGGCAACCATAGAAATGCAGCTTAACGACTAACTTGTTGATCAGACATGACATAGGATCAGGTTGAAGCAGAGCTAGTGGTGGTGGTCAAACCAAAACATGACCTCATCAGTCAATGAAATCCATAACAATTAGTTTAAGCCAACCATGTAGGCGGACAGCTGTAGACGACTGTCTGACTGTTTCGGGTCCTCAAGATGGTAAGAACCAATAAAAGCTGAAGACAATTGGTGATATGGTTGGCTCAAAATCGTTCTCAGTGGTGGTTGGCTTAGATGCATTCACTCTTTGTTGTGATTCGTCGTGTCCTATAAAAGTCTATTGTTTTCCGATTGTTCTTACTATTCTTTTTCTTTCAGTTACACTTCTGTGGCAAGTTGAACTGGTGTACATCTCTGTGCGAAGTTCTAAATTGAAACCAGTCAGTCAGTGTCGATCAGACGTCAAGTCGAAGGCTCATGGGCGGGAGGGGGGGGAAGTGGCCTCTTAGGACAAAATCACCACCTGCTTCGGTCTGGACGTCCGAGGAGAGTATCCTAGCGCATCTCTTGGTTCCTTTAATGCTCCAAGTTTGTGTTTTATTGATCCTAATAATGTGGCGGTACGTCGTGGGAAAAGGAGTGTTTTTCTATGCGTAATAAGAGTCGAAGGAGGACTGGGGGTGATGTAAAGGAGACTGTAAGCAATTAAGGAACAGGAGACTTTACGTGGAGTAGGTAGTAAGAGATAATCATTATATGACAAGCAGTATGTGGCTTTTGCCTTGTTGTTATTATTATTATATTGTGTTAGAATGTAAGGATAAGATCTAAAATGGCAGATTTATCACCAGTTTACCTTTGTTATTTTTCTCTGTCAGTAGACATGAATTTGTTCACTACTGTTATTAGTTTGGGACAAATAGCGGGGTGAGGTGATGGGGGTAGTGGTGATAGTGTAGACTGTGCTGTGGTAGATAACCTCAGGGAGTATTGAGAATTAATGATTGACGACTTTTTTTTTTAAAAAAAATATGACTCTAAATTGTTTACAATGATGCCTATGTATCCGCCTCTTGTCATCTTTTAAATGCGAACTGTACTCACTAATTTTTGATTTGTGTGTATCTTCTCTATGACCTGGTTGATTTAATTGCGAAGCTTCCTTTATCATCCTAGACAACACCGTCGGTACAAACTTCAGTATGCAGTGTGAACTTATTTGAATTCTCCATGTAAATGATGATATGATTGTATCTCCGGACAAACCTTCTTTGTTGTGATTGTTTGTTAACTTGTATCTGTTATTGGTTTTGTGTGCGTCGGATGCACAGCGGTAGAATACTCGCCGACCTCGCCACACCTCATTTGGTCCGGGGTTCGACCCCCGGTCACAGGTGCACTCCTTTGCCTCGTTAAGCCAGTAAATAAGACTAGTCAAGAGGGAAGGTGTTGGGCATATGAGACTAGCAACCCCACCCCGTAAATATAAATACACACCACTGCTACCGAAACTTCAAAAGAGCTCTAGTTTGAAGTCCCCTATGTTCCACTGGGAACGTAAAGCAATAAGAAAATAATAATAAATAATATTGATCTTTCTTATTAATTTGGAATTAGAACCCTTTTGTAATTTCATATTAGTTTGTTTATTAAATATATCACACTGTAAGGGAAACAGTATTATTTACTGGATGACAACGCCTTTCGTACACATCTGATTATTGTTCATAATAATAACATCAATTATAATCACACGACTTGGAAACTTCAGTTTTATAGTTCTCTTTGTCCTCTCCTATTTGTCGTCGTTGGGTTAGTAGAATTTTCCAGATGTCAGGGTGGATAGGTGTTGAATTATTCTTATTTCACGTATTTTCAGTTGATTCGAGAAGCAAAGCTTCCGCTGTCATCAATCTCTCCCTCCACCTTGTGACATTAGATGTTAGAACTGTCATTTTATCCCATCCTATTGTATGGTTGGGTGTGTGTAATTGCATGTAGTGAGTGCTATAGCTGGACTATTCTGCAGATTTCTTATTTTATTTGGATCAGCTAATCTAGATTTTGCTAGGCTTTCATGCTTAGCTAATCTAACTGCCCCTTTTCTACTAGTTTGACCTATGTATTTGATCTGACGGTCATCGCAGGCCCCAGGGTATTAGATGAACTAAATTGTTTTGTTTTAAAAGGCTCCACAGGATCCGTTAATCCATCTACGCTTGTTTCTAATTGCGTTTGTATCAGATATCTGGAAAATTCGACTACCCGATTACGACGACAAATAGGAGAGAAGAAAGAAAACTATAAAACTCAAGTTTCGAAGTCGTGTGATGATAATTGATGTTATGATTATGGCAAAAATATTCATTCAGACATTTATAAAACACAAAATAATCGAGCACAGAATATTCTTTTCGATAATTTCCTCCTCTTCTGGTTCTACAATTATATTCACGACAACTCCTAACTTAGTGATAGGGAGTGAAGTGATAGAACATGTTGACCACTTCACCTATTTGGGAAGTTGTATTAACACCAACGAACTGATTGGCGATGAAATCTCAGCACGGATCCAAAAAGCTCGAGCTGCTGCTCCAGCTGACTTACACCATCTCTGGCGTAGGCGTGACATCCGGCTATCAACAACCAAGGGACGTGTGTACTGCTCAGCAGTTCGCTCCGTCCGTCCTTCTCTATGGCTCTGAAACATGGCCAATACGCGTTGAAGACATGAAAAGGTTGACTGCTTTCGATCATAGATGTCTGCGATCTCTGTCTCACGTTAGGTGGTTTAATAAGGTAAGTAATGTTGACGTTAGGCGTAGAGTTTTGGGAAAAGAGGGAAAATCAATCGACGAGGCTATAAAGTTACATAGATTGAGATGGCTAGGTCACGTGGTGCGCATGCCTAACCATCGCCTCCCCCGACGGGCGGGCATTGCTAGCTGATATAGGTGCAGGTTGGAAAAGAACCAGTGGTGGCCAAACAAAAACACATGGCCTCATCAATCCATGAAATAAATCCTTGACAGTTAAACTGAGTCGGTCAGGTAGGGAGATGCAGACTCCCGGGTTGGGGCCCTCGGGACTGACTCTAGGAATCAATGGCTGGAGACAATAGGTGACATGGCTCAAAATCGTTGTCAATGACCAGCGAAGATGTATTCAGTCTCTGTAATCTTTCATATTCCTTTCTACTGCATTACCCATTCTGTTTCACTCTCATACTTGTCAAACTCTATTGATTCTCTCCACTCATCTTCTTGTCTACCTCTGTGTGCTATTTGGAACGTGGCAACTCGAACTGTTGCACTTCGGTGCCAAGCTCTATGTTGAATCAGAGAGACAGACATGCACATGTTTATATACATAGAATATTCCAGAATCGTAGCCAATAACAATATTAGTGTATTTTAAATAATATCAATTTGTATAGTAAGATCACGATGAAATTACCACAGTTCATTAAAGATGCTTAAATTATAATACTATAGATATAATAGCCAATAGAATATCAAATAAAATTCAGGAAATTTAAACAAAAAGTTGAGGATCATTCAAACGTAGATGGCTAAGGTAAGGATAATCTCTAAACTAACTTCTTTTGACCGCATAAATTAGGCTTGTTAATATGGATTCCAACAGCCAGCCTTAGCAATATTTAGTAAACGAACACTTAAGGGGGAAGTTAAGATTTGTTGGTATGCGGTAAATGACTTTGAAAGCATGTTTAACGTCAATCTTGTGTTCTATATCCCCACAAGATGAGACAGAATAGCGCTGCTAATCGATTTTGTTTGTCCTTTACTTAACCACCACGCAGAGGGTGATGTTCAGAAATTCGAAGAGAAACACGCCTAATTCTACGGCCTATGGTAATTTAAGCATCTTTAATGAACTGTGGTAATTCCATTGTGATCTTACTTTACAAATCGATATTATTTAAAAAGCACACTAATATTGTGTTATTGACTACTACTAATCTAGAATATTCTATGTATACAATAATAATAATAATTTTGCTTTATTCCAAAAACAGTACTAATGATAGAGCAAGGAATTTTCAGCATTCAGTACAATATTGCATCTAATTTACTCAAAAAAACGACAAAAAAAAATAAACATTACATAATAATTATAACGAAACGTTGTTATAGCAGCTATGTAGCAATTACAGTATGCGATAAGGAGAAAAATATGCATGAAGTATAAAATTATAGTAATAATAGTAATACCAACTAAAATAAAATAGCAAAGGTATAATTAAACGATAGAAAGGGTGACACCATAAAATTACAGAAGGATGAACTATGAAAGGGTCGATTCACTGTGCTAATTACATAGTACCTTATAAGTTTCACGTCTAACAGAGTCTTCGTCACATAAATTACGGGCTAAATAGGGTATTGTAGAATTTCTGTACTTAGTGGTACGAGCATATAACTTTTTATATTGACTTCTCGTCCTACCTGATGAGATACAAGGGGATGGTTGTGAATAAAGGGGGTGCAGAGGGTCTGACAGTATAGCCTTTGCCCATTTCGTACAGGAATTTATATGCCTCTCGACTATAGTATTAGCGAGCTCATGCAGTGGCAGACCACAAGCTCTACTCACAGCATTTAATACTCTTCGTAATATGATATAATCTTTTTTGAGAAGCCCAGGAAAGATTAATGGAGAGCAATAGAGTACAATAAACATATACGTATATATTTGTAGAGGGAGAAGAGGAGAAAATTATCGAAAAGGGGATATTCTTCTTTGCTCAATTATTTTGTTTTATTTTTATAGATGTCTGAATGAATATTTTCGCTATATTCACCTTTTGTTGTGTTGTTTTAATTAACTTACCGTTTTTCGTTGTTTTCTTTCTAAAAACATCCCTGTTAGGCTGCTGGTCGTCTTGTCGCTGAGGGGATCGCTAGTCATACACCAGATTTGTCGACAGCACTCCCATTGTTCAGATTAGGCTGTCAGTACAATCTACCCGAGAGTTGTTTCCACCTTGGTGGTGCAGCGATGGTGTTAGCTAAACAAGCTAAACAAGTACAAAAGCCGACGATTGCTGATACACTGAATTCTGATAAATCGGTTAGCAGTGGCAATAGTCACCAGGATCACCAGCAACAACAACAACAACTGCTCAGTGAAGCCTTTAAAGCCTGGATGGATGGTTGTCGGTTAGGTCATGAATTATCCTGTCGTAATATTGCTAAAATGTATACAAATGGGGATGGTGGAGTTGAAGTCGACAAGGTGAAAGCAGATGAATACTTAGCGAAAGCTGAAGAGCTGGCGAAAAAAAGTACAAAAACCTAATTCTCAACTTGATAGATACCCTTTGCGCTACCCCTCATCTGTTTTCTTGTTCCTGTCCCTCTTTCTCTCTCTCCTTATCTTTCTTCTTTAGTCAACTATTTGTGTATAGATAATTAGATAATCTTTTTTTTTTAACGAAATATGTATATCTTTTACAAGACACTGTATTCTTTTTATTTTATTCAGTGGGCGGGCAGTAGTGACGGGGCGGTGTGTGTGTGTCTTTTCGTCGATTTCATCCTCAAAAGCAGCTGTACGTCCCTAGTGGAACATAGGGCTTCAACTTCACGTCTCCACTTACTTCTCTCTTCTGCTATACTTTTCACCTGCATCCATATGTTAGTCAGTCCATACTGTTTCAACTCCTCTTCACACAATCTCCTCCATGTCATCCTTGCACTGACGTCCCACTCGCCGCGTGCTTCCCTTTCGGCCTGATTCCACTCCACTAATGGCCTGACGCGCTCTCTATGTCACCCAGCGGCCTCCTCAGCGAGCGAGTGTCCAATCCATCTCTTCACTTTCTCCTGCATATTTAGAAAAGAGAAAGATTGAGCGAGCGAAGAAATATTTACTTTTCAATTATATCCTCATCTCTGGCTCTACTCTAATACATATATAGCATTTTAATTACAATACACAACAATTTACCAATCAAGTGGCGATATGTTTGTTAACAATAATTAGTCAGTGTCAAAATGTCAATGGGGTGATAATTAACGAAGAAAAATTAATATATATAATTAAAAGGTGGAAATGGTTACAACACGCGGATTGTATAATGCATAATTTTGGAAAAATGAAGAGCTATTAAGGAATAAGCGTGTGCACAGGTTGATTACGTAACAGATTGTTAAAGAAAATAAAACAATTTGGACAATGATAATTTGTAACTAAATTCACGTGTTGTAACTATTTCCACCTTTTAATTATACAAATTAATTTTCCTCGTTAATTATCACCCCATTGACATATTGACACTGACTAATTATTGTTAACAAACATATCGCCACTTGATTGGTAAATTGTTGTGTATTGTAATTAAAATGCTATATATGTATTAGAGTAGAGCCAGAGATGAGGATATAATTGAAAAGTAAATATTTCTTCGCTCGCTCAATCTTCCTCTTTTCTAAATGTCCTGCATATTTGTTGGGCGGCGATTGGTTCTTGTTTTGTTTGTTCCCAGTCAGAGTTTCTTGTTGTTGATTCTTTCTGTCCCGGCCATCTGATCTTCAGTATAGAGCCAGCGAAGACAGTTGGTTGATAAAGGTATGCAACAGGCTGTTGGAAATATTCTTTGTTACCCGCCCTCCCCACCAGCCAAGTTTCTGTCTGATCCATATAGAAGAACTGACTGACTTGACGTTGTCTGTATTGAAAATCCGACCGAATTTTGTTGTTGATGCTGAGTTGAGTGACGAAGATTTCCAGATTGGTTTCAGGTGAATGATGAATGTGATTCTCGCCTTCCCGATTCTCGCTCTATTTCACATCCTCGTCCGTTCCGACTTCCTGTAGTTGAGACAATGCTCCCTAGCTAGATAAGTGAGTGAATGAAGTAACCTCTTTCAAATCCCTCCCGTTGATAGTGATTGGCGCTGGATGTTGCTGTTGTTGGTTGGTTGGTTGGTTATTTTCATAACTTCCGTCTTGTCTATGTTCACCTGGAGTGAGTCCTGTCTTCTCCGGCTGATTCTTCGACCAGTTTGTCGATTTTCGCTTGTAAGTCTTCGATTTTGTGGCAGTGACATCAAACATAAATCATCCACGCGCGAAATCCAGGTCTTCTAGGTTCTTCACGTCGGTCGGTCCAGGATATTCCTGTCCCGTTTCTCGTTTCTTACTGTCTGACGCATAATCCAGTCCACCACAATTATTTATTTATTTATATCTACTGGGTGGGGTTGCTAGTCTCATATGCCCAACACCTTCCCACTTGGCTAGTCTTATTTATTGGATTAGCGAGGTAAAGGAGTGCGTTCAGTGGCCGGGGAATCGAAACCCGGACCATATATGGTGTGTGTTTAGAGCGAGCATTCTGTTGTGCTACCGACACCCAAACCAACTGTACAGTCGCATTTTTATACCTTTGAATACATGTATTTCTAATACTTATTATTATCACGCATTGGATCATAGGAATTATTAAAAAGACGGTTGGAGCTATGAAAATTTTCTTTTCGACGAAATCATCAACTAGGTAGCTGTACATTCGTGTATTTATATTAAATGTGTGAGGAAGTTCCAGAATTATCTCCGATCAGAGGGCAGATTAATAAAATCATTAAATGTAATAAACAGAAGACAGGTAGCAGCACTATTCTATAATTATTTCAGGTCAAAGGTCAAATCGAAAATTCCAATGTGTAGTAATCAGAAAGATCGGGTAGAAATGACAAAATAGGATTATGATTATTGTAAAACTCGTCAGTTTGTATAGTTAAGGGTTAAAGACATAGTGTTAACGAAATGGGTCGGAGGTTCGGACATATAAAAATAAAAACAGTAACCAAATGATGTAGATAGGGATTTAAAAAGGTAAATATAACAGAAATAAACGGGAAGGTTGGACAAGAAAGGTGTTATAGGATGATCATTATTGGTTAGACTGACTTTTCATGATGGCCATTGGTAAGGACAACGGTTGAACGTATTTCTTTTGGACACATAGAATAGGCTTGAGTTTTTGGATCGCTAGTGTTTCAGTTATTCCTAGATGTCTTGATTTCACTCCCTTTCGGTAGGTTGGATCAAATCTTGTATATTGCTTTGAAAGACTTTCCGAATAGGGTTGAATGTTCAGAATTCGCAGGATTAGAAAATAGCTGCGTGTATAATGCGTAAAATAGTTTTTAAGAAAGACAACCGTCAGGGCGATGAACATAGACACAAATTGAAATAATAATTAGTAGTTTTTATAACTGAAAATGTGAAGGGAATGGAAAAAGAAATAAATGAACAGAACGGGATCTATGGCAAATCTAGGTGTGTTGGATTAGTTTTCCTTTGAACATATACCTCTAGCTTCTTGATGCATATAGCGCGACGGGGGGGGGGTGGTTGGCTTCTGCAGCGCATAAAGAAGTCATAAATATACTGCGACTTTCAATGATAATGAGTCAGTTGAAATGCTGTGACAGCCGGTGTTCACTTAAAGCGCCTCTGATTGAACCAGTATGGTATCTTTGCAACTATGCTGAGTAATGTTCTCCAACACGTTTTGAAAAGAAGCACATATAATGACTTATGTATCTAGCTAGCTTCACTGGAGCATAGAGGGAGGGTCATATGCGGAAGTTTGTCCTTCAAATTGTTCAGAAGCAATGGTTGACTAGAAGATCTCTCTCTCTCTCTTAGAGTTGCTTCAGGAAAGGTTTTCTGTCGTCAACTTCTGCTGTAACGACAGAAGGCAACAGTCTGGCAACAGATTGTTTATTGAGGAAATCAGCACATATTTATAGATTTTTATGTACATTATTATGGATTATTGTTAGCAGGGAAACATAGTCTTCTGATTGGTTGTTTCTCGCTGAAAGTCAATCTTTCATCTCATTGTGGCTGCTTCTTGAAGGTCAGATCATCTACCTGCGAATTGTATCCGCCCACGCAAAGTGCGTCGGTGACACAGTGGTTATTAGCATTCCCGCCGATCATGCACATGGTTTGGGGTTCGATCCCCTGCCGACGCACACTCGATATCTATGGTCGGCCTGCGAAATTTGGGCTACCGATATTACATGCTGAAAATTTCACACCTGTACCAAAATATACGGTGTGGAATCAAGCTGTAATTAAAAATAAAAATATCAAAAAAAGTCTCCTGTGATCGGTTGTCGAGTTAGTCTCTGTTCTTGTTTTTTATCATGACCAAGATTAGGGACGTAAACATTGACGTAAACTGCTGTGTACCAATTTTGGTTAGCAGACAACTCCCACCACACTCCTAATTGAAGCTGTCTTGACGATTTCCAATCAGGATTACATCGTGAGCTGACATCGGCTAGAGAATTATTCGAAATCCTGGGATTACTGGACAACTGTTTCGTGTTGGTTTGGGACTCCTCATCATTACGCACCATCGGGGTTTGAACCTGCGACCTTATGGTTACAAGGTGAGCTAGCTCGTAGACCAGTAAGCCACTGGAACCCGATCCAATAGCCAGCCCATGAATTCTAACTTCTACCAATTCACGACATAGTGTGACCGCTAGGCAATACTTGAAGATTTCCAGTTATTTTCACCTCTCTCATACCTTAAAACTGATAATCCTCACTGATTAACAGACTATCTGTAGAGCTGATGATAATGAAAAACTAATTGAAGCGGAATATAACACTTTGTGCTCAATTTATTGTTGGTATTTTTTGTTGTAGCGATAAGACGTAGATAAAGTCAATCTTCGGTTTGACAGAAATCTAAGATTTAACAACTGTCTGTAATAATATGCGCTTTGCGATTTCCTGCTTTCTACCCCTAACCTATCATACTACTAACTTGTCAGTTTGTCCGCTTACTGCCTATAGATTCAATGTTCTACTCACTCACTCACTCACTCACTCACTCACTCACTCACTCACTCACATTTATCTTTTGCTATGTCTACTAATTTGCTTCTTATGCATTTTAATTGATCCTTTTGTATAATATATAAGTATCATAAATATTATTACTGTTATTATAATAATAGCAGTAATGTTGCTTAATGTACTATACTAAAATAGTGAATACGAACCTGAATTTCAGGAGAGAAGGAGCGTTAGGTATTCCAAAGAAGAGAATCTCCATCTCAAAGTAAAGAAAACATTTCCCACAGAAACATGAAGTTCTGTTGTCTATATCATCAAAGTTGAAAGACTCAAGATGGAAAATAAGAGGAAGACCTTCTAATTCATTATCTCATACAGGCTCTTTTGTCAGTACTCACATGTTTGTTTGACCACGAATTGATATCAGTTAGAGAACCAAAATCGAAGACTTACTAGCAAAAACCGACAAA